CTCTCTCTCTCTCTCTCTCTCTCTCTCTCTCTCTCTCTCTCTCTCTCAGGGTTTCTCTGTACCTTTGGAACCTATCCTAGAACTCACTCGGTAGACCACGCTGGCCTTGCACTCACAGAGATTCGTTTGTCTCTGCCTCCCGAGAGCTCAGATTAAAGGCATGAGCCAACACTGCCCGGCTAGACAGTGTATTAGTGTATTTTCAAGCATTTAGTTTTCTGTCTATAAAATCGTCACAGTCCCTCACAGCTCACATGCTCTCTGAGATGGCAGAGCAGGGCCTTAGGTTTCCCTGGTCTCCTCGCTTGCTCGCTCCCATGAATGATACATTGAAACATCTGGCGGAAACAAATGAAAGGTGCCGTGGGGCAGCCTTCTGTTGCTTCCCCCACTCTAGTCCAGCAGCTGCCTCTTAAATGGCTGACTCAACTCTCCTGAAATCTCTACAGAACAACAAAGCCAGCGGGAGGGAATAAAGACGACCCACACAGCGGTAGCCACACCTCTGGGCCAACGAAGAATCTTTGGTCCCCTAACCTTCTAGACATGTATCAGCAGGTCAACCTCCAAGTAGTTTTATTAGCGTGAGTGTCGTTTGCATTTGAGCTTATCATATGTTACATAATTACATACAGCATTTGTGTATTTTTAAGAGCATATGTTGAAAATCCTAAAGTAAACTAGAAGGTCCTAGGTTGTATGACCCATGAATCTATATTCTGCCCAAAAGCGCACACCTTGAAGTTGGACTCATTTTAGAGACAGTGAATTAGCGTCTCAGAGCTGGGAAGGGCGTCATCCTAAGAGTAAACTCACTACTATGATAGAGAAACCAAAAGCTAATAGCCCTGACCGTCACGGGATATTACAGCCCGACAAGCCTGTCATATGCAGGATGCTTTCTGGTTAGCATTCTCCGTTGGGATGGTAGAGGCAGACGGGAAGAATCCCACCTCTCTCGATTTTCCCTTTATTCTGTGTGTGGGTGTCCAGCAGAGCCCAGGGATGGCGGCAGTGTGTGGCGTCCATAGCATGAGCATCTTTGCTGTCACAGCCACAAAGTGAGACTGCCCTGACCTAGAAGGCCCTTGCTGCAGAAGTCACTACACTCCCGAATGACCAGAGGGACGCTGGCAGGTGAACCGGTGTGTGTGAAAATCACGCAGTTAGGCAGCCACAGCTCTGGGAGCAGAACTCAGCCCTTCACTTAGCGCAGGGCTTTTCCCACAGAAGACATTTGGGAGCATCTTGCTAAACTAATTTAGCCATTCAGACTTCCCCTGCGGCATAGAAGAGGGCAGCATTATGCTGCAGTACCGGGAATCTGGCCTGCTACCCAGGGGCTGAGCAGCACAGGACTGGACTGACCTATAACACTGTGGGCCACAGGAAGCCCTCGGGCCCTTATGTCAGCACTGGAAGCCACCGGGACTCTTCTATCCCCACCTGAAGAACTGCTGCCTTCAGGACTCCACGCCAATCGCACAGTCAGTTAGCAGTGTGATTTAGAGATTGGCCTCTTTGTATCCACGGGTGGAACCTTTCATTTTAAGTGAGATTTACCAATTTCTTTGTATAGAGTTTGGTAATAGCACAGTCTCAAATGCCCACAGGGACTCAGTTTGGTTGTTCAGTTCAGTTTTGTGAGTATATTCACCCAGTCAACCCAGCAGCAACAAACAAAGGGAAACTCTTTAAACCAACTCACAGTCAAACTATCATCACGTTTGGTAAGACTGGAATATCTAAATTGTTCTATACAAATGTGTTGTTTTAATTATCATTGTTTTTGCTGGATTTTTAAAGCGTTTGTATATATGCTTCCCCATAACGAAGGAATTCAAAATTATGTAAAATTATGCCTAACGCTTCTGCTTCACAAATTTCCAACTGTTTCTATACAGACCAAATATGCACACTTGTATACACTTGGGTGTAGAACAGGTCTTGTAGAGTATATCTCTTAAGGTTTCTATTGCTGTGGGGAAACACTACGGCCACAAGCAACTTGAGGAAGAAACGGTGTTTGACTTTCAGTCAGAAAAAAGGTTACAGACCATGACTGAAGAAAGTCAGGGCAGAAGCCGATATAAAAGCCATGAAAAGTGTGCTGCCTACTGGCTTACCTGCAATCTTAAAGAACTGGGCTAGACCCACCCAGATCAATCCCTAATTAAGAAAAGCCTGTAGAGGCTTGCCTACAGCTCTATCTTATGGAGACAATTTCTCAATTGAGGCTCCCTCCTCTCAGATGACTATGGCTTGTGTCAAGTTGACAGAAAACTAACCAGCACAACCGGTTGCCTATTAGACAGATTGTTGCTTTTTGCAACATTTATAACATCCATTATGGTTTAGAAAGAGTCACATTTTATCATGTACATCAAAGCAAACCAACATGCCTTATACTGTCATTCCTTATATTCAGAGAAGTCTAGGAGAGAAAAGAAAAAGTGTGATGCCTCTTGAAGGGATGCCAAAGGAAATTCCATCGTGCCATTGTGTCATTGAGACCACCAGAGGTGAAGACCCCAAAACATATGCACCATGCCGTCTCTTCAAAGTGGAGGGAGGGTTCCAGAAATAGTCTTATAAGCAAGACTAAGTGGAGAGTGGATTTTGTTTATGTAAAAGTACAGTAGTCTTTGCCGGGCAGTGGTGGCGCGTGCCTCTAATCCCAGCTCTTGGGAGGCAGAGGCAGAAGTAAATGGATCTCTGTGAGTTCAAGGCCAGCCTGGTCTACAAGAACTAGTTTCAGGACAGTTGGGATGGTTACACAGAGAAACCCTTTCTCGACGCCCCCCCCCCGCCAAAAAAAAAAAAAGGAAAGAAAAAGTAAGGTAGCCTTCTAAAACTAATTAGCAATTGTCTCTCTCCCGTTAAAGGAGTTCAAGACCTCTCCTTGAGAATATTTTACCTCTAACATAATTGACAGAGAGGTAAAGAGGCACAGATTTTTAAAATATCTGTTCCAAGTCGGGTAGTGGTATCACACAACTTTAATCCCAGCACTTAGGAGGCAGAGGCAGGAGAATCTCTGTGAGTTCAAGGCCAACCTGGTCTACAAGAGCTAGTTGCAGGACAGCTAGGACTGTTACACAGAGAAACCCTGTCTCAAAAAAAAAAAAAGTTCCATAAATCTTTACCGGTGACCTTCCAATACAATCTATTCTTTCTAGTGTAATGAGGAGTACATAATTAGACAACTTGTTTTAGCCTTGAAGCGATTATACATGTAAAGAGTACATTTTCAGTAATGAGACAAAGTGTTCGCCTTCCGAACATCTGCGAGAAGCAGTATGGCTCATTCTTGATAAACAGGGCTTTGTTTCTCCTGACGGCATTACTCTAAGTCAGCAACTCACTTGGGCCTCTTTGTGCTTACATCCGTACCTAATTTGCCCGTTCCTTCCCAGGGTTCTCTAGACAACTTCAAAAGTGGCATCTTCCCACAGAAGGGCTTGCCCAGAGCACAGTGAATGGATTTCTGTCTTGCTGTCTTACAGTCTTTCCTTGTGCACCGCTCTGAAAGCTGGGTGCTCGAAAGAATTTGCCTCAGAATACTTCATTCATTCAGGCTCTAGCTGCAGTCAAAACTTCTCATGGCCCTTTTATCGGTACCTTTGCTGTCTCTATTCCTTTATCCTTAAAATGATATTTTTGCCAAATACATGCGACCAGCCGTAGGAAATAGGACGAGCTCCCCCATGAAACCCCTGCTGCAGATTTCAGTGTTGGGATGGACGACCCCTACATGCTGCCTATGTCCTTTGTTCTCTTCCTGGAGTCATCTGAGACCATCCCGAAGCGGGACTAAGGGTGAACTCGGAAGACCTTTGGCAGTTCCCGCTCTAAATCAGAGAGCAGTTCCTAAAGAAAGAATCAATACAAAGAAATGTCAGATGAGCTCTCTGCCCTGTCAGCCTACAGTAGTGTGGGTGGTCGGACATGCTATCAGTTACTCTTCTGTACAATCTATGAAAACTTCAGCCCCCTCCCCCTGCAAGTGACTTTCCCTGCCTTGAACTTTCTTCATAATCATTTTTTTTAAAAAAGTGTATTGCCCTTAGTACATGAGTTTGTCTTTACTCAAATTAGATGGAACTTGCTCTATAACATCTCTTGACCTATGGTGTGACTGACAAAGAGTGGTTCTTAAGTGAGTCCGTCCGTTCTTACCATTAATCATTGACTGACGTTTGTCAAAAGACCTCTCGGCTTCTCTGTGGTTAACTGCATCTGA